GAGGCAGGGATCTCTATGAGTTCAAGACCAACCTGGTCTACAAAGCTAGTTTCAGGGCAGCCAGGGCTATGTGGAGAAACCTTATCTGGAAAAAATAACTCTGACATAGTTTTAATGAGCTAGGGTCCCAGATACAGTTGCACAAGAGACAGAGTTCCAGGAGCTTCCTATAGGATGATTATCAGAAGAAACATCAGAGGAACTGTAGAATCAACTCAAAAATAAAAAATATCTTGAAGTATTTTAAAGAAGTTTTACATGACTTGGTGTCAGAAAATAAATGTCTGAGCATTTACTTTGCCAGTGCCTTTTATTGTCATGTTCCAGCTTGAACCCTGGGCTATTCTGTAGTTCATCTTGCTCAGGACTCATGAGATAGGATATAAGGTGACTTTGTATGCCTTCTAACTTGGCACTGAGAGTTCTTGCCATCTGGCCATTTGCCTGCAAAATTAATTGAAGTAACACTGTGCTGAGAAATTCTGGAATGTTCTAAGTCAGAATCTAGAGTGCTTCAAAAAGATTTTGTTTTTCTGGCACAGTCCCCACCCCCACTCCCCTGCAACAAAAAAGAAATTTGGTCTAATCAAGGGCACCCAATAAGAGGATTCTTTCTGACCTCCATTCTGGCATTTGCTCATTACACAGAATAAGTGCCTTCCAGAGTCCGCCAAAGCAGACAGGTGCATTGCATTTTCATCAGAGCCCAGGCAGTCCCAGAAAGCTAGCTACAGTGCAAACTAAAGCAACACGTGGATCAATTCTAAATGAGTCTGAGCTGAATGAGTGTTCCATCTTCTTAGTTAAAATCATGTGGAGCTGTTAAATGCCACTTCTGAACTTGTTTATGGGTTTGCATATTAATCTCCCTGGACATACATCTTTTAGTCTGCCTATCATTTGAATGCTGAAAATTAAGCTGTGGGTAAGAAACAAAGCCCATGTTCTCCATTGTATTCAGAATAAAGACAGCAAGCTCATAATTTGGCAACTGAGTACGTTTTATGGTCTGTGAATCAAGGGTAAGACCAAAGGTTTTTTCTTAAAAATATTAAATAGATAGATAGATGATAGATGATAGATAGATAGATAGATAGATAGATAGATAGATAGATAGATAGATAGATAATCCCTACCACAGTTTCCTCTCTCTTCTCCCAGTCCCTTACCCTCAATCCCCTCTCCCCCAGATCTATTCCTCTTCTGTTTCCCTTCAAAACAGGGGAGGCCTCCTGGGGATACCAACCAACCATGGCATATCATGGCTGGACAACACAACTCAGTAGGAGGAAAACAGTCCCAAAAGCAGGCAAAAGAGTCTGAGACAGCCTCTGCTAACATTGTGAGGAGTCATCCCACAAGAACACTAAGCTACTCAAACATAGAATCTATGCAGAGGACCTAGGTCAGACCCATACAGGCTGCCTGATAGTTGATTCATTCTCTGTGAGGCCCATGAGCCCTGGTTAGTTGATTCTGTAGGCCATTTTTTTTTTTGTGGTGCCCTTGACCCCTCTGGCTCATATAATCCTTCCTCCTCTTCTTACAGAGGATTCCCTGAGCATCTCCTAATGTTTGGCTATGGGTTTCTCCATCTGCTCCCATTGGTTGCTGGATGATGCCTCTCTGATGGCTATTATGATATAGACCAAATTTTTTCTTTGAATACCTACTATGCACCAGGGTCCATACAAATAGTGCTTTTTAATATGACATCTCTTCTACAGCTCTCATTATAATTATTATTTATCAGAAATGAAGAAATATCAATTTTGGAGAGCCAGTAGCAGAGCTAAGGTTTCAATCCTGATCTAATTTTCACAAAACCTCTGTCTTCCTATGACACCAATTCATTCAATTCCTTTTCCAGAGGGATTCGTTGGGACCCTACAAACTTTCCTCTTCAATCTAATAAATGAGCCATTGTGTTTAAAGAATTAAAAAGTTAGCCGGGCAGTAGTGGCACACGCCTTTAATCCTAGCACTTGGGAGACAGAGGCAGGCAGATCTCTGTGGGTCTGAGACCAGACTGGTCTACAAGAATGAGTTCCAGGCCAGCCTCCAAAGGCACAGAGAAACCCTGTCTCGAAAAACCAAAATATAAAAAAAATAAAAAATAAAAATAAAAACCCAAATAAAACTAAGATTTAAAAAGTTAATATAGCAACTGCCCAATTGTTTACTTGATAATGACAGTGATAATGAGGATGACCAAACCTGTCTCTGCATGAGATAGAGTTTCAGCGACTAGGAGGAGCCAAATAATTTGGAATTTTGTACATATTTCAACTCTCTAGATCACTGTTTAATATCAAATAGCTTTTTCTTGGAATTGTAAGTTTCAAAACACTCCTAAATATTCTCTCTCTTTATAAAGTGTGGCAGGGTGGTGCACTGGTCACACTGGCCACAGCCAGATGGCCCATGTCTTGTCACATGCTTACTAGCCATGTGGCTTCTGGAATGTTGTACCTATTAATATGCTTCAGTTTCTTCCCCTGAAAATACAGATGAGGCCAGATAATGATGTAGTTTTAACTTCACATAAGGGCTTAGGAACACCATGTAGCACCTCTCTAGCATATGGACTAGATGGTATTGGCAAATACTGAGTTTATATTATGTTTTTCTGTTCATAGTTTTGATAGCAATCCTGAGTTAACCACACCAAAATCAGGGGTAGTATTCCTTTGATAATTATACAGATGTTGCATTGTGTTACAGGACCATTCAAAGGAAAGAATCTTCAGCCCTCAACGAAGTATAGATTATTTGCACAGAATGCAGAACCTCTCTCTCTCTCTCTCTCTCTCTCTCTCTCTCTGTCTGTCTGTCTCTACACACACACACACACACACACACACACACACACACACACAAAACATAAATAAAAGAGGAAATTCTCTTAATTCAAGTAGTAACTATTTTATTGACATATTTACAAAATATTACAAAGTAAAATACCATTCCAATTCACCATATTACACAAGGGCTACAGACAGGCAAGACAAAGTCCATGGAAAACATTTTCTTTTGTCTTTGGCATTAGAAATCTACACAGATTGTGGCATTTAAAATCTCCAATACAAAGTACTAAATGTAGACAAAGTTGCCATTGGTAATGTCATGAAAAGAGGCTCTTCTACCCTCGGCTATGAAACTCTGAGGCCAATGAAATGCAACAGGAAGACCACATACCACTTGTGAGGCAGGGAGTCTATTGACTGAAATAAACAATACATGCTACAATACTGTACACAGGAGAGTTTCAACCTGTGGGAAGCTGGACTCTCCATAGCAACACTTGCTAACAGTAACAGAAAAGACATCCAGAGACACAGATAAGACTTTCTGGGTAGGAATCCATTCCAAGAGTAGACCTTGTCAGCACAAGATGACTGTACATATGTTTTATAAAATACATTTTCATGACCATTTACACATATACAAAAGCTTAATTGTTCTAAAACACAATCACAGTTTACATAACTCTGAGGTAAAGGTCTTGAATCTATTTAAATGAGAAGTCCTAGTCGCCAGAGGTCTCTTGGAGGGAGATGTATCCACTGAACAAGTTCTGGCACTCATGCGAGCTGGGAAAGGACAGACTGTCACAGCCCTTTCATGTCAGAGGTGACCTAAAAATCTGACACAAGAAGCTTCTAAATCACATCTAACATAAAAATATCTCTATTTTCCTCCAATCAGGAACACTTTATGAATCTTGTCAGAACACAGCTACTGCTGTGAAAGAAAGAGTCCACCATGGAAGGGCCAAGTTAGCATCCTAACCTGACTCCCTCAACGAGGGACTCCATGTAACTCAGGAGGAAGATACTTAGACTCCTTACAGAACACAGTGAAGGCTTGGTGAAAGAAATATGCTGCAAAATGGATCTTACTACTGATTAAGACATAGCTAGAATGGCTTCAGAAGGGGAAACAGAGGCACCAGGAGAACACTGGTGCCTTTTCTTCTGTCCTAGAAACAACGTACGTTCCTTCTCAAATCCTCAATAAAGCTACTTTGTGCTACTATTAAAAAAATATAAAGAGTGGAAATCAGCAAATATGCCCTGGATCTTTCTGGGGGTAGGGTGGGGGGGAAAAGACTTGTGTTAATAGTATTGCTGCTGTACAATGATGTTCTATGGATTACAGCCCTTGGATCTTTCTGGGGGTAGGGTGGGGGGGAAAAGACTTGTGTTAATAGTATTATTGCTGCTGTACAATGATGTTCTATGGATTACAGATTACAGTCTGTTTCTGTAAACACCTCTATCTCACTGGGATTCCTGGCAACTAAGCATAATCTGCCCAGCCAAGATTCCTTTGTCAAGCATGACATTTCCAAAACACCCTATGAAATCATGAAAGTTGTGAGGCGTTAATACAAAGACACTTCCTTTCATGTGCTTTTCTTTTGCTTCTTTATAAAGAAGTGTGGAAATACAATCAGAACATCAAATGAATAATTAAAACCCCCTCTGTAATTTATCACTTATGATGCAAACCTGAGCATGAGCCGCTTTTATTTGATCATGAGTAACATCTGGGGATAAAAGTGTTTGCCAAGCAATGAGTCACCTGTTGAACAATTTAAGACAAGAGATGCCGGATCTTTCCAGCAAGCTGGATCTTTCCCAGATGGCAGAACTCTACTTTTTCTTCATGCTGGGGGGGGGGGCGCAAAATTAAATGTCTGCTTCTTTGTATCATCAAAAAACTGTAAGAACAAAGTAAATATACATGAAACAATTCCTAATGGCTGGCATCCATGCTTCCTGACCCAAGGAAGTAAGGGAACCCTGATCCGATGTGTTTGCAGGGCTCTTTGGGGAAGAAAAGCTTTTGATTTTGCCCAGGTCCCTGACAATGACAGACTGGCAGGCTGTTTCTTGCACCGCTCTAGGCAAGCCATTAATCTGTCAGGACCAGCATCTTTAAAATTCCCAACATTAAGACTTAGGAGAAGAAAAGAGAGAGAGAGAGAAAGAGAGAGAGAGAGAGAGAGAGAGAGAGAGAGAGAGAGAGAGAAGAGAGAAGGGGGCTGTTGAACAGCCAGAAATCAGCCAGAAATTCTGCTTTCTAAACTCTTCAGTGAACTCATAACGAAGTTCAGGCTTCTGATTATCCCTTCTTTGAGATTTTGGTGCAGGGTGCAATGCTGGACTCAACTTTACTCATCCTCTTCCACATATGTGGATGGAAACCAGCCCACCTGTGAAAGAAGAACAACCAACATATCAACACCTCTGCTGCTTCAAGGGTTTCTACAAAGCATCCCTCATTTTCCTACACTCTAATTATGCCAGGGTTTTATGCCCATTGTAGGTGAGGAAGAATGGCTCAACAACTACAATAGGCCTCATAGAGACAGTGATCTCAGCTAAGGAATAAAATAAGCTTAAACAGGGTTCTAATCCACTAGGGCAAAACCAAATACAAATTAGGGCAATATGGCACTCAGCACCATGATTCTCACCTCTGCTGTAGGACAAGATGTATTACAGAGGTACTCTATCCCTTTCTTTCCAAGTGAGAGTAGGAGTTTTAGAAAAGTTTGGTGTACCAAGTAAATAAACTGCATGCCCTGGCACTTAGCTTCTAGAAAACCCTGAAATACTTTTCAGTTCTTCCCACTTGCCAGTCAACTCTTGGCTCGTACATTATTCCCAACTCGTTTTAAAGAACAATGAAATGCATGCCCCAGCCTCTGGCAGCCAGGCTCCAGAAAGGAGATGTATACCATACGATAGATGCCAGTGACTGTTCAACCTTTAATTCACGAAGAACCAACACACTCACGAGGACAACTCACCCTGCCATTTACTTCTCCTCTCCACCAGCCATTTGCACTCATCTTTGTGTAAATCTTCACCATGTCCCCTTTCAATAAGGAGAGCTCCCGCATATCTCTTGCACAGAAGTCATACCGGGCGATGGCAATGCCCAGTACCTTGGGACTTAGCACTGTAAAGAAACAATGCAGAGTCTGAGTCAGTGTACAGTTGGTTGCAGCCAGCCATCAGAGCCTAATCAGACCATTGCTATTGGTGTGATCAAATGCAGAGCCGTGACTTCATTACAGATTAGTGATAATGACAGCAGGGTTTGAAAGCAGCACAATTGCTGTTTCAATCCAATCAGATGTGATCAAGTTCATTCCAGACAGTTAAATAACCACTGTTCTGCTTTTGACACTCTTAATAAAAGCTGCTGTAAAACCAAAGCCAACCTAGCCAATAATTTAAAAGTGTGTGTGAATAAAATCTCGATAACTTTAACATAAACTTAAAGCACTGTATTCTCATTCTCATGAGAACCTCTGGGGTGAAGCTTTTGTAGTTTTAACCTGGTAACTTCTTTGCCTAAACTCTGAGCAACTGAATTCTAGGCTCTAATGAAAGTCTGTCAAATCAACAACATCACTTCTAAGTAGGTGGCAAACCCTGCCCCCAGCCAAGCATTTTATGTTTAAACCATCTAGGGATGAACTCAATTATTATTTCAAAGACAATTTCCTGTATGTGAAGGTGTGAAACAGTTCTCATTGAAAGAACACAAAACCATCTTCATTTCATGGAAACACAAATGTCTAATCAAAATTCCAGCATAAAGGCATCATCTCCCATGTTCAGTTTTCTTTATTATTTTTTTTAAAATCCCTGGTGGCAGGAGAGAAGCCAACCTGTCTGAAAAGGAAACTCTATTCAGGCCTTGTGTGTTTGTTGGTATCTAGTGCTTTATAACAGGCTTTGTAGTAACTTTCCCACCTGTTGCTCTGTGGGGGTCATAAAGTGTTTTTCAATTATATGTGCAGAGATTCCAAGAATGGCTCACCAGAGATCAGTGGCCCTTTATAAATCTTAAATGGTAAAGGAACTTAAGTGTAAGAAAAAGCAACAAATGGAAATGCCATCCATCTCTATTATAACAGTTCCCAGTGCGCAGGTAGCTCATAATGACCCACGCTACCCTGGAACAGTCCATCCACTTGGCAACAGGGACCTCAGGCCTATCATTCATGGCTTTATAGTGACAGCCTTTTCTCAAGTCTCCAGGTGTCCATCATAAGATAAACGAAAGGCAATACTGTAGATTTCAAAACTGTAAAGGGAGTAAAAATAGGTCATTTTATTTTACCATTCAGGACACAAACCACTTTAATGGTTTCCTTACTGAAAATGGTCCCATTGCCCAGGCACTGTTCTTAAAGTCAGTGCACATAAAAACACCCCGTGATGGAGAAACCCAATTGTAGACTTAACTGTGTGACCTTGCACAGGCCTCTCAACCCCTCTAGGCCACATTTTCTCATCTATAAAATGAAAGGTTTGTACTAGCTGACTTCTAAGGTCTATTTCAGAATTCTATGTTCTATTGGGACTTGCAGGTTAATTTTTAAAAAACCCACAAGGAATCATACTTTATCTAGCCCCAGTGCCATATAAATAGTCTTTTAACTCTCCAGGTAACGACAAAAATTCAGATCAAAATGCCTAGACACCAGGTGAAGAACTATAGAAATGGTGGACAAGGGTCATCATTTTAAGAAATGCACACTGAATCTTATTCTTCTATTTAGAGGGGAAGTTGAGATTTTCGGTCCTTTTTATTTTCTTCATGGAAATGAACAAACACTGATCTTTTTCTCCCCTATGGCTTTTAGTTCTCAGAGAAGACGAATGATTTTTCAGAGCACTTCATCTCCTTTTAAATTTCCATCCCCTGACCCATTTCCAACCTCTCTGCACTGACACATGAGGAAATATAAAATGTCATATTGACACTTATGACTAACACACACACACACACACACACACACACACACAAGTGGAATGTCATGGCAAACAATGGCTCTATGGCTGGGAAGAGTGAAGTACACAGTGGTAATGGAACTCAGGGAATTAGGTTTGAGGAGATGTATTTACATGGGAAGCCACACACAGAAGCCAAAATATTGTATTTGCACATAGAAGCGAGCTGTAGAGACATATAAAAGCAGAAAGCAGTACCTGACCAGAAAGGAGTGGAAGAAGGGGGAACAAAGCTGTAGTCTGGAGGAGTTACAAAAGAAAAGCCACATAACAGAGGAGGGGCTTAGAGAGGGAAGAAAAAGAAGCAAAAGAGCATTTAAGAGTTGGCACAAAAATCTCTCAATACAATGACTTTGTTGTTTGCAATCACAAGAAAATTGTCACATCCAACTTGGAATATCAAGCTGTGTTTCTTACCCACTGTTCTCCTGTCACCATTTCTAAATGAGAAACATGCCAGACTTTTACATTTTGATTGACATTAGTTCTGCAATTCAGAGCTATCTATCATTTTATAGGCAAACAGCAAACCCACTCCATGTTGCCACCAGAGCCCCATCCATTCAAAGATGGCCTGATTCCCATTTGTTACAATAACAGGAAGGAAATTTATTGATATAAATATGTCCCTAATCAAAACAACATGAATAAGTAAGAGCTTACAAAAACAGTACAGATAAGAACCTATAGGGTTGCCGGGTGTTGGTGGCGCACGTCTTTAATCCCAGCACTCGGAAGGCAGAGGCAGGCAGATCTCTGTGAGTTTGAGGCCAGCTTGGTCTCTAGAGCGAGTGCCAGGATAGGGTCCAAAGCTACACAGAGAAACCCTGTCTCGAAAAAACAAACAAACAAAGAACCTACTGGGTTATGTCAACAAAACGTGTACAGTAACAGGAAGGAAAATTTATTGACATAAATATGCCCCAATAAAAAACAATATGAATAAGTAATAGCTTACAAAAACAGTACAGATAAGAACCTATAGGGTTGTATCAATGAAACATAAAGAAACCATAGAAAAATCCAAAATATTTGTTAAGTTAAATTCAGACAATTTGTTAAGACTCTCCCTTACCCCCAACCAAGCAAGAATATTGTAGCTTATTTTCCATAGGGAAAATTACAATTAGGAAACAAAACACTCTGAGAACATTATGTTGGAAAACAAGATGTAAAGGGATACAATAAAGATACTAGAAATTGTGCACTCATTTTTTGTTCACTATATGACATCAATAAGAGTTGATTGTATTCATTATCAAGTAGTCCTGAAATGTTAGTTACTGTTGCTCAATAAGTTAAGTATATCGACAATTTAAGTCATCACAGTAACTAGGAGGAACATATTGATGCTCTCTTTTTTTTGCAACTTAGAAAATTTGGATTCACATATGACTTTATGGCCCTTTTCCTTAACCTCAGCTGCAGGGCTCTTTTCAGTGAGCACTGTGGCTCACATACCTCTTACATTTAACCTGCTAATCCTATGGGGCCATGACAACGTGCAAGGAAAACCTGCCTTATAAACTTTATCCCAGTGTTTATTTTCCCTTTCATCCATCTAGCAGACAGCTGAACTCAACCATGTTCAGTCAACAGGAAGAGTTCAATTCCCCATCTCTCTTACATTTTGATAAAACTGTATGGTGAGGTCCTGACCAAAGCTATTAAAGCAAAAATATCATGAAGAAGCTTCTAGGATCTTTCCTTTTAGTCCTTTATTCTTTCTTGCTTTCTGACATGTGAACGTAGCCATCTTGATCCATAAAAAGGGAAACTATTACCTTGAGGAAGATAGAAAAATGACCTTGAAGGAACCTGAATTACTAAGATTTCATGGAGCACAGGTAACCTATCCTTTTGGCTAGCTCTGAGATATTTCTATGTTTTTATAGGATAGAGAAATAAACTGGCTTTCCTGGTTAAACCAATGGATTTGAGTGTTCTGTTACTTGTACCTAGATCTAACCTAAAACATCATCACCAAAGATGTAGTAAAAATCGGTTGAGCAGACTGGGTTGAGACAGTATGTCTTTCCATATCCCTCTTTTTGGGTATGCTACAAGCCAGTACTATTATCTGAAAGTGGGCTTTCTAGGATCCTAACAGCCACAGTGACCTACTAAACATATTAACAGACTACAGACAAGCAAACTGGCTGAGGGAATTGGGAGGAATTCAGATTCAGTTGTTCTTGAAATCATTGATTGTGAAGTCCTCACACACAAAGGGACGTATGTCTGACTGTCTTTTGTCATGAATGGCCTCACATTTTTTTTATTCCATCTGCTTATTCAATTAAATAAAAATACACTGTTACATGCCAGTAAAACTAATTTTATATGACAAGTTCATTTAATACTATGCAATAGAAATGACAATTCTCTCTGTGTGTGTATGTGGTGTGTGTGTGTGTGTGTGTGTGTGTGTGAGAGAGAGAGAGAGAGAGAGAGAGAGAGAGAGAGGGATGGGTGCTCATGCATACAGAAAACAGAGTTTTGTCCTAGTCTTTCACTCTCCACCTTACTCCCCTGAGATAGGGTCTCTCACTGAACCTGGGACAAATGTGCAGTCAACTAACAAAGCCCATCAGCCCTCTTGTCTCTGTCCCCAACAGCATCAGGTTTGCAGACTCATGTGTGGCTGGCTGAACAGTCTCTTAGGTAAGTGCTGGGGATCTGAACTCAGCCCTCTGTGCTTACATAGAAAGTGCTCTTATCCACGGAGCAATCTCCCCAGCCCCAATTTTCACTCTCTTGAGGTCAACCACTGGCAGGGAGAAGAGAGGATGACATTTCTAGTAATCATCCCATAACTAACCTCACTAATGACAAAACATGTGGTGTCAAGATTCCTAGATTCCTATCTCATGTCTGTGAGAACTTAAATTGGAAGCCATGTTCTACACCCTGAAAGGAAATGGAATTTCCCCCCCTGTACTGTTTTCTATTTGATTCTTTCCCTGGTCTAATTCTATTCATTAAAAAAGACTACATTTCTCAAAAAATTCTAATGAGGGTAATATAAGCTAAGAGCTAAGAGTGAAATATTGCAAGAGATAACTTATCTCAAAAGGGAAGAAATGAGAAATCAATGACAATACAATTAAGTGCCATTTAAATAACTTCAACGGTAGGTGGATAAATTAGACA